CACATCCTGCCCTGTTTGACCAGGACATAATCCAGGCCCATTTGGAGTTGCAGAATAGCAGTTCTACTTTCATCTAATTGTGAAGTCACCACCCACAGAGCCTGAGCAGTTGTGTTGGTGACTATTTCCACTACAGCCTGCAGCCTAATGATGCAGTTCAGATTATAAATAGGCTCCTGGAGCCCCGCTACCAATTTATGAGTGTCCCATGAGTGTGGTCAATGGTCCACCTGTGGAGAGAATATATGACACGGGAGAGGGACTACACTTGTTTCTTTAGCACATGGTCACCCCATTCCATTAATCCATGGTATAAGGGCTGAATAACAGGTGGCAGTCCACCAAACATCAATTCAAGTGGTGAGACTTTTAATTTTTCCTTAGGAGAACACCTAATGCGGAATAGGGCAAAGGATAACACTTCAGTCCATTTTAAATGAGTTTCCTCGCACAGTTAGGCTAGTTGAGCCTTTATTGTCTGATTCATACATTCGCTTTTTCTTGAACTCTGGGACCTCCAGGCCAATCACATCTCCCAGTGGGATCCCATTCACCTTCTCTCTAGTTGGTTAGTATCCAACCTCCACGCCACTGGCCTTGTCCTCTTCCTCTTCCTCTCACTGAGCCACGTCCTCCTCTTCCTCCACATTCCACTCTCAGGCATTCATTCTTCCAGTGTCCTTCTTCTCGGCATATAGCACATTGGTTCAGGCCTTTGCCAACCTACTTTTGCTCCCCAGCCTCCTTGTGGGAAGTCTGGCTGCTATGGCCGCTGTCAATAAATCCACTTCCCTTTTAAACTTCCTTTTTGCTTCCTTTTTCTCTTCCAAATCTCTATTCATATATACTTTCCTAGCTACTGCCACCAACTGTTATGGATTCATTCCAGCGAATCCTTCCAGCTTCTGAAGCTTCCTTCTAATGTCTGGTGCACTTTGCTCCACAAAACTCACATTCACCATTCCGCGGTTTTCAGGAGCCTCTGGGTCTAATGGAGTATTGGTCCTATAGGCTTCATGAAGTCTCTCCAGGAAGGTGCCCAGAGACTCATCTGTTCTCTGTATGATTTCCTTCACCTTGCTAATATTTACTGCTCCAGCTTTCAAGCCTTCTATTATGGCCTGGTGGTGTTGCTCAAGCTTCCTTCTCCCCCCCCCCCTTCGTTGGGGTCTCAATGGGGGTCTTGATCTGGATAATTCTCCGCCACCCAGGCCTGCGTGTTGGCCGCCCCATGCCTCTCTGCTTCTCACCTGAGCCATTCCTGTGCTTGTTGATCGATCCTTTGCCTTTCCTCAGTACTGAGAAAGGTCATCAGTAATTGCCTGCAGACCGCCCAAGTGGGATAATGTATTTCCATAATTGAACTAATCAAATCTGTTATGGCTTTGGGCTTTTCAGAATAGGGTGGGCTATGTGTTTTCCAGTTCAATAGATCCATGTATGAGAATGGCACATACGTCCATATCCTAGGGTTATATTTTTCCTTATCATCTAGAGGGGTTGTTGGATTAGGCACTTCCTTTAGGGGGAAGATTCTTGCCCCTGGGATCTTGTTGCATGGACTGCCCAAGGATTCCAGTGCTGCTGCACTTGGTTTGGGATCCGGGCAGAGACCATATTCTGAATTTTCTCGTCGCCCTTCCTTTTCAGTTTGCTCTGCCACCCCTGTAGTCCCAGCCTCTTTTTGTTTGTTATCACCCGATCCTTCCTTTACTTTAAGTAGTTTTGGAAAAATGAGGGCATAGGGAGGGGGTTGCTCCCAGTGTTCCTGGTCAGGGTCAGCTAGGATAGCAGTGGCTGTAGGCTGTAAGAAGGATTAAGGATTAAGCACATAGCAGGTAACTTCAGAAATGTGTGTTGCTAAATAGCCATCAAACCCTGTGCAACTTACTTCTGAATATATCTGCATAGGACTGGGAATATGGCCCCACAAGGGAAGGCAACTATCAACAGAAAAAGTTGCCCACCTCTTGTATAGTGTTAGGTGTGTAAGCCTATATATGCCCTGGATCTGCACACGCACGCGTGTACACACACACACACACACACACACACAGTGCAACATGGCTATAAGATCAGAAGCTTTTGCTTCTGCTTTTAAACTAAATTTATCTACCACATATTTTTTTTAAGTTGTGCAGAAACGTGTTTACAGAAATCATTGCATTTTTAAATTCATTAGGGTAACGGCAGCTAAGATATAATACAGTAAGACTCTAATAAAATACCAATTTACATTGTTTCTGAGATTTCTATCTAAATGCTGTATATTATCCTTAATCATTTTAATGATTAAATCATGTTATTCTATTACCTAATCAGCTGTCACATTTAACGTTTGTAGCGCTAATTAAATACTTGCTATTTGCAATGTCATCGTTTTGCAGTGATTGTTATGTTTTAATGTATTTGTTGTTCTAAGAATACATTAAAGAATCATGCCTTTTAGTAACAGATGGCTTTTAAAAAAAAAATGCTCAAGGCATCAAAAGTGTACTTAAACAACAGTGTAATGCCGACACATGATATGCACGTTCTGTGTTTAATGTTAAACAATCTGGATACCAGACCTGTTTGGTAGTAAGTTTAGCAAAGGCAGGAATCTTTCCTTTGGCACTGATGTAAAATGCATTTGCCTTCTCTATTTGAATTATTCTACCCAGGGAGAAAAAGAGGCACTTCACTTAACATGTAGATGCAGTTAAGATAATTGATTCAATCAGCACTGATGAGACTTTTAACAGTTATCTTTCTAAATTAAATCAATTCCTAATACTAATGCCTGCGTTTTTTGAGCCATTAAGAAAACTTATCTCTTTTGGGGAATGTAGACGCTCATTCATCTGTTAGAAAAATAATGCAAAATTTAGTAACTTTTATTAAAGAATGTGCTTTTAAAATAATACTATACTAATTCATGATCTAGCTAGCATGTTGACTGTTTTATTTTTCAGCAGCTTTTAGAGTATAGATTAGGTGGTATTCCTTTATCATTTTAAAAGCAGTAAGCAGATGGGGAGACAATCTCTGCTAGCCAACTACAGTCCTAAAAGGCAGGCAAAAGAACATCAAGATACTTGCAATTAAGTTTTCTTTCAACCTCCATACTGCTATCACTGATGTCCAATCCTCTGAACTGACTCTTATGCTTGAACTCAGAGGTGCCAGCTTCTCTGGATGATTGAAGGGGCCCAATGCAATGTCCTGACGTCACATGCACGACATCATGTGACATTGCAAGGAGCCAGGGGGCAGAGCCCAACACCCTCTGAACACTGAGAGGGCCCAGCGCCCTAAAAATATAATAATAATGAGATTCCCAAGTGTCTCAACCATCAGGAGCTGGTGCCTATTCTTTCACTTAGGTGATCCTACATGAAACTCAGTCCTTCATTTTTAGAAAGAATGAGGATATTGACCCCTGTAATGGTCTGACAAGAATTAAACTTGTATCTTTCTAAGAGCAGCTACGTTGTCCTAAAATAACACTGGATGCCGATTCATCTTTTACATTTTGGAATTTAAACTGCTACCCTATTCTTTTAGAACACACAAAATTAGTCATTCCTGATTGCATTCACTGATAAAATCCGTAACTAGATCCCATTAAGGCAAAATCCAACAGAGATAGAAGAGAGTTCCTTAGAACTGAAAGTTATCCATTATTTACAATTTTCATGAATTACTTAAAGACTGTATGTCAGCAATCTAAAAAATTGATGTCAATTTTAGAAAAGCATGAAATGCATGCTCCACAACGAGTTATCCTTTAACAAGTGTCAGTACTTATAGTCAATAATATGAGTAACATTTCCCAAAGCAAACAACTAGAGAAAATAATTGAATTTTCCACATACTTTACTACTCAGAACACCTACAATGATTATTACTGTCAGCTCATAGGAAGAGCTACAAAGTGTGATGGTTAAAATAACTGATAACAAAATCTGTATACTTCATGCATGACTATTGCTATCACAAAAAAATAGATAATACTTCTTACACCAGTTTAACTCAATTTTCTAATGGGTGACCTTAATGTATACTCCCATACAGTTAAGGTGGACAATACAAGTAAAATATTGATCAATTAAGTTAGCTTAAAGATGTATATACAAACAAACATTTGCCTGGTTAACACACTGAAAAGTGGGCGTTTGTTTTTACACTAAAAAGTGTGTACAGAAAACATTCAGCAGGATAGAAGGAACAGACCTATGATTGAGTGCAAGTGAAACTGAAACAGGGTCTAATAAGCAGCTAGTCATAGGATGTTCACAAACATCCTAAATGTCTGAGAATGAAGAGTCAGATTCATTGGTTATTTCAGTGGTGATAGAGAGAGCAAAAACTGCTGGATCACAAAGGTTTCACGTACCAAATAAAGAATTTTATCAAAAAACTGCAGTTTGCTATTCAGAGAAGATGGGAGATGCTGTCAGAGACAAGAAACCAAAAAGATAAACTAGGCCACTTCTACATTGCTAGGTTCAAGTTCATTTGACAATATGTAATTTTGCATGCACATTGGGAGAATGCACACAGTGGCTGAGACAAGTCTGTAATGGTACAGAAAACGATGAAGGGAAGGGACCACTAAACTGCAGAACATGGAATTCACAGTCTGAAAAACCCTACAATGCATCCTGGATCAGTGTTTGAAACTCTCATTGTTCTAGGCACATTTTGCAACAGGGAATTTCATTAGGGTGACCACTTTCTGAGCTCTGGGCACAGTACTGCACCTAAGATTTCAGATTAAAACAGCAGAGTGGAAGGAAAGGTGGACTTTTTTCTGCCTCCCCACTTCCAGCTACTCTCTGAAGACTGGAGAAGAGACCCTCTAACACTGTCCTGGATTATGCTATGTAGGTGGCCATATTCCTAAGCAATTGCTACACTGCTAAGAATTCTGTATAGTGTTCATGTTAGCCGATCTCAGTTAGAATTACTACACCATGCAAAGATACCAGGAAAGCAAACTGTACAGCAGTACTTACAAAATCAAAATCGCCATCTTGAGGAACCTTCCAGTTATCGGGAAAGACATTCTTCGATATATGGTAAGATTCATGCATATTCTGGTTGCAGTTTTCATGGCTTTTATTCTTGGAATCCTGTTTATCAAAGTAGTCCATAAAAGAAGGTCGCTGAGCCTGGGGTGATGTTGCATTTCCTAGTATGAAAATTAGAAGGCTGTGGTTAAAATTTAAAAGAGAAAAGCAGTAAGTTCCAAGTAAATTGTGTTTAAAACGGAGCTGCTCAAAAGATATCAATAGGCAGAGTTAATGTTTGTTTCCTAGCAATTGGGTTCCCAGGACAGAGTGACAGGGCAAACAAGAAAGAGGCATGTAATCAGAGCGACAGAAACCTAACGAAATACCACTGTGATGCAAATGAGTGCAAAAAGTGGCTTACGGCTCAGTTAACTCAGGATACATCTACAGAATTAAACATAGTTGAACTAATATAACGTTTGCAAATCCTGAAATTGAAGTCCAATATTTCTTTTCATTTTTTAACATTGACACTAATATAAATGTTCCTCACATGAACAGAAACACTCCAGCTTCACCCATAGCATATAAAGATTCTGGCAAAACAGTGCCTCCAACTCCCATCCCAGCAAGGGTAGTACAGAAGGATACCATGGTTGATGATATCAAAAACTGCTGAGAGGTCCAGGAGAACCAACAGGGACATACACCCCTAGTCCAGTTCCTGGCACAAGTCACCCACCAAGGTGACCAAATCCATCTCTGCCCCATAATCAGGCCTAAAACAAGATTGAAATGGATCTAGATAATCAGTCTCCTCTAGAAACCCTTGGAGCTGAAATACCACCAACATGCTTCAGTACCTTGCCCAAACATGGGACATTGAAGACTGGCTGATCATCATTCAATACGGTGGGATTCAGGGATGGATTTTTCCATGGTGGTCTTATAACTGCCTCCTTTAGGCATGCTGGCACCCTGCCTCGTTGTGTTGTAAGGAGAGGCATTGACCTCTCCCTTCACCCACTCAGCCAGTCCGCTGCTGACTCTTTTGATGAGTCAGAAAGGGCAAGGATCAAGAACACATGTGGTAGCTCTCACATTTCCAAGGTTCCTGTCCACATCCTCAGGCTGTACAAATTGAAAAATATCCATTAACACCGGACTAAGGTTGTATCCAATAGCGTGTGAGGGAAGTTCCATTCATGCAATGGGTCTTCTATTTCCTCTACTCTACTCCATATGCCCCCCCCAAAATCTGCTCTAGAGGGGCTCCCAATCCCCCGGAGCAGATTTTAAGAGCGTGTCTGGAGCATGGAGAGTGGAAGTGGCTTTCTCATCATTCCCAGAAGTATGTTGCATTAGCAGAGCTGCAGGATTGGATACACCCCTAATATCCCCTCTTACAAGTGGGACAACTCAATGAGAACATTCTAAGAAATGCAGAAGTGCAGATCAATCACATTCAATCTATGCTGAAAATTTACAATTCAGTCTTTGTAAATAACTGCACTGCCAGGATTTTTGCTTCTTATAGTTAAGTTTATGGCTTTACAAGCTGGTCTTTAAGAAACTATTCACAGGACAAAAAAAAGTCTACTTTACCTAAAGAAAAAGAACCAACTAAGAACCTCAAATTTGTGTATCAAACTGTATAGCAAAGTCAAGAAGACCATAGAAAGCAGGAGCCAATAGCAGCATCCTCCATATGTTGTGAACTACAACTTCCATAATTCCTGATCTTTGACTGTGTTGCCAGAGCATGATGGGAGTTGATAGCCCACAACAGCTGTAGGACACTACGTTGCTACCCTTCCATAGAGTAAGGACAATTATCTCTTAAGGAAAGGGAATCCTAGGCTCATGAGGAAACTGTAATAAATTGGTCTGACACATGTTATAAGGTAATCTTACAAACTATTTAAGCGATCGTTTGGAATACAGCTTTGGTAGGAACAGCTAAACATTGCTGCAGGAAAGGAAAGTCATGCCTCACTAACTTCTTGATATTCATTCCTATTACTACAATAATCCACAAGAGAATTGCACTGACATCACTTGATTAGATGCTCAGAAAATGCAGAAGTTCCACATTAAAGGATAATCTCTAACTTGCAGAGTTTCACAATCATTTGCAGAATTGGCTGATTACTATCTTAAGCATAGCTTGGGAGAAAGATTAAGCATTTTCAACTCCAAAGAAGCTTCCAGATACAAAGTTAGAAAGAAAGAAAGAAAGAAAGAAAGAAAGAAAGAAAGAAAGAAAGACCAACATTTATAGAGAGTCCCTACCTGCACCCTGAAACTGTATTGCTAATTTCCCCAAAATGTGTTAAAATGTTGCTACACTTTGCTAGATATAATGGAGAGGGGTTATAGTTTAGGTTCTCTCTCTAGCACAGAGGTTGTCAACCTGGTCACTAGTGGGCGTTTCAGGATTCTAGGTGGGCGGTAGGGGGTTCTACGGCACAAGTTGAATCCTCCTTCCATCGAGCACTGGTGGGTGGTAAGGAAATTTTACCATCAAGAAAGATGCATTAGTGGGCGGTAGGTATAAAAAGGTTGACTATCCGTGCTCTAGCATTTCCATTTAAAAGAACTGCAGGGATGGGAAAGATCACCACTGGAGACCTTAGAGAGCCACTCAAGGTCAGAATAGTCTGTACTGTGCTAGATGGGCAAATGGATGGACTCGAAATAAAAATGCAAAATCAACTAACACAATTCTGGTTGCCAGAGATGTCACCTTGACATGACCTTAATCCTATGCCCTTGAAGAAGGCCATCATCAACTGAAAACACACTGGATATTTTATCAAGACTATATTAATTTTATAAAGGTTTGCCTTTTAGTGCTGTTGTGAGATTTCCCCTCATTTTTCTCTGGCACACAAAAGCAGCCACTTTGGGGGGGGGGGAGAGAACGGGACACAAAAAGACCCTAACCCTAAAAGGTGGGAGAATGAAAATCATTGTGGAAAAATGCCTTATGAAAACAGAAACTTGTATAAGCGAACTAGCAAGCGTATTTAGTAAGGATGTGGGCTTTCCAAATTAAAGCCAGATGAAACTGTAGAAAAGCAAGAGTAGGTCAGTCAAACTGTACCACCATAGAAGGACTCTAGTGCCTACTTGATTTTCCAGTCTTGCAGGTTCTGTTTTCTTATATTGATATAGTGCATCCCTTTCTCACCAACAGTTTACCCACACAAGCCCCTACTCCTGAAAAAATATAAGGCCAGAAAACACAATGCTATTTATTGCTAGGCTGTGTATTAAAACGTTAGGTTAGAATGTCAAGCTTTGTTTTGTTCCAGATCTCAGCTTTATTTGGGCACAAGTCCCTATTTGTTGGGGGGAAATATGTTTTTACTTATTTTTTGTCATAGCGCCCAGGGGCCTCCAAGCATGGGCGCCTATAAATAAAAAACTTATTATTGTTACTTATTTTGTCCTTGAGCAGGAAAATAGAAAGTTGAGGGAAATATATATGCAAAATCTAATGTTAGCAAAGTTTTAAAAGATGTCCAATAGTTTTGCATTGCTAGGAGAGGAAGAAAATTCCCCCTCTGTCTAAACACATTTATTTCTGCAGTTGTGTGGCTTGCTGCAAAAAAAACCATCTGAGAATGTGTCACCCAAACATCTACACATTTTAAGCAATCTGAAAGGGAGATCCCAGTATGTCTGGGGCTACTCCTCCCTTTAAAAGACGCCTGCTCCTTGGGAGAAAGGCGATGGCAAACCTAGACAACATCTTAAAAAGCAGAGACATCACCTTGCCAACAAAGGTCTGTATAGTTAAAGCCATGGGTTTCCCGGTAGTGATGTATGGAAGTGAGAGCTGGACAATAAAGAAGGCTGATCGCCGAAGAATTGATGCTTTTGAATTATGGTGCTGGAGGAGACTCTTGAGAGTGGACTGCAAGAAGATTAAATGCATCCATTCTTAAGGAAATTAGCCCTGAGTGCTCACTGGAAGGGCAGATCCTGAAGCTGAGGTTCCAATACTTTGGCCACCTCATGAGAAGAGAAGACTCCCTGGGAAAGACCCTGGTGTTGGGAAAGGTGGAGAGCACAAGGAGAAGGGGATGACAGAGGGTGAGATGGTGGGACAGTGTTCTCGAAGCTACAAACATGAGTCTGACCAAACTGCGGGAGGCAGTGGAAGACAGGAGTGCCTGGTGTGCTCTGGTCCATGGGGTCACAAAGAGTCGGACAAAACTAAACGACTAAACAACAACAACAACTCCTCCCTTAGTAACATTGGAAACCATTATTGTAAAGCTCTCTGATAATTTTTATGAAAGTGCAGTATACAAAGACCACCAGATCATAGATTCCTCCAAATGCATCATCTATAAGTCGCCTTTTGCTTCTCCCAGAATACAATTAATTCCAACATGAGGAATAAAAATGCTTTCCCCCACTCATTTCTGAACCCACCCTATTCCTGTGACCGTAGTTTGTTTTAACTGTTTTTAATGTTGCATTTTTAATTATTTCAACACGCCCAGGGACCTGCTGGTGAAGGGTGGAAAATAGGTTTAACAACAACACCACACAGTACTGGGCTGAGAAAAAGCAATCCTGCATCACTGGTGGAGTAGAATGAATGATTTTTAATAATAATAATAATAATAATAATAATAATAATAATAATAATAATAATAATAATAATATCTTTATTGTCATTGCCCCCTCTCGGGGACAACGAAATTACTTTTTCGTTTTTAGGAATTTATTTTTAGGAATATTTAGGGTTAGCAACTCTGCAGATTTATCAGTCACAGCGTTTCACATCTTCATGGCATCCTAAAAGAGCTACATTAAGAGGCAGAGAACAGACAGATACAGAGGGCTGCCAGTGAAGGGATCACAGCAACTTTGCTTCTACCCAGTCATTTTTCACCTCAAGCCAGACCTCATGGCTTTGTTCTCTCCAGACTAACTATGAGCCATAGCCAAGAACAAACCTTGGTCACAACATGATTAGTCTGGAGAGAGCTAAACCATGAGGCCTGGTTCAGAGGAGACAGCGAGCCAAGCAAACTATGAGGGAGAAATGAAGAGGTTGCATGAAACAGGCCAATGAAATCATCTAAAAACATCCTGGGGTTCTCATCTCATGCTCTGATTTCCAGAAAGGGAATAGTCTTTCAGCTTACGGTGGGCAGAC